CTAAGATATATTGATTTACACTTTAAGAATTAGATTATCGATTACCCAATCTAATTATTAGTATTTTTTCACTAAAAACAAAAGAATGCAGTATCTATGTAAAATCACAGATTAGCCAATAAATTAGGAATATTTTTCCTATTACCTGTTGTGCATGTATTTTATCTCCGTCCGAAATTCAATAAATAAGTATGGACAGAATGGCCAGATTGCGCATCTAATTATTCTCGATAAGTTAAGTATCATTTTCAGTGTGATGGCACTTGTGATAGAGGATGAAAACAAACATGTCTCTTTCTTGCAGGGAAAAGATAAATGCCAAAAAAAGAAAGAATCTTGCAAAATGAAAAATGCCAAATGTAATTAATGTTAGTAACTATTTCATCAACCTAATTTATTTCTTCACCTCAAATTCATAACTCGTTTTTCATCTACATCTTCAATTCATTCATCTCAAATCTCAAACTAATTATATTGTGGAATTAAGCAACAAATCCTAAGGTAAGTTGATTTTTATAAATAATGTTATTTATATGAATAACTTACTATTTTTAGTCGTTGATATTTGTGAAAGAAAGGTGAAGTTCGTGTCGAAAATGAAGTTGATGGTATGGAAAGTAAGTAGGGAAGTACCCGCACGCGGTGGTGTAAGAGTCCTCGCCCGCAATACCGATGCGAGGAGTCCCACACCAATTGCATACGGGGGCTCCCACACAGATCTGTGCGAGGATTTTGTGTGGGGAGTCCCCGCACCAATAACTCCCCGATATTTTTTTTTGTTTTTAAAGTTAAATTATAATATTTTTTATATAAATTGGAGACAAAATCTTAGAATTAGAAATATATATTAAATCTGATAATTGATATGCATTGATAGTAATTTTTTTTCTAGCTTACACGATATATATGATATATACTTATATGAAATCACGAAGATATGTTGGTATATGCTATGACACTTTTCATTTCTATTATTTGTGCAGATGTCTCTAGATTATATACTGTCACCAAACCAATGGTATTCTGGTACTATCACTCAATACCCCCAATTACCAATATGTAAAAGATTGTATAGCATTGCTTCAAGCAGATGAGCAATCACTTTTAATATCTAGCGATAGGAGTTTTCATGGATTTTTTTTATGGATATATGTATAGAGATGAAGAGCAACAATTCAGTAGTAAACTTATACATGAATTTATAATGAGGTTTGTTAACTGTGGTAAAAAGAATGAAGTGTGGGTGAGGTTGCACGATCATTTTGCTCGTTTTGGCTTGCAAGAATTTTGTCTAATCATAGGATTATCTTGTCATGAACAATCTGTTAATCTTGATCCCAACAACTCTCGACTTAGAGATCAATATTTTAAAGGCAAAAAAAGAATTAACATGAGAATGCTTTACGATGCATTCCAATTGTGTGAACATCCAGAGGATAAATTAAAATTGGGATTGATGATGTTGGTAGAATGTGTTTTGACACCAACAAATAGATATATTGATTACAAAACTTTAGGCATGGTTGAGCAGTTAAATGATTTTTTGCTGTATCCTTGGAGCTGTAAGACATACTTTGTTTTGTTGAAGTTGTTACAACAATCACATATTGAAAGAATACAAAGAATGCAACAGTCTGGCCAAAATGAATGTAAATATATACTACATGGATATCCCCTTGCCTTTTAGGTATTTTTTTTAAATTTATTTATTTACTCTATATTTTGATTTTATACGTATTTAATATTGATTTTGAATTCTCTGTTGTAGTTTTGGATATATGAAGCATTTCCTCAAATTGGAGACAAATTTGGACGACGTATGTATAAGACATCACAGGCTCAAGAATGCATAAATGGAAGCTAAAAAAAATTTTGAGTGAGAGAAGAGTAAAGCAATTTTTCACTACCCAAGAGGTACGATAAATTTAGATAAACATTTGACTATCAATTATCTAATTATTTAATAGTGGGAGAGGAAAGTATTATAATTTTTTATTATATTTGTAGATTGAAGTAGAATTGGACAAAGTTTGGTCTATGATTTTATCATCACCAACTGATAACCAACATACTATTTTGGATGGTATCGTTGGTAGAGAATTTGAGAATGCACATCAATAAATTCCACAACATATGGATGAGGAACAAATTTCAGAACATATGGACGAGCAACAAATAGGTGTTGCTGGTAGTTCAATAGCGAAGACTTCAATTGGACTTCAAGAGTCTAGTTGTTCTTCTCTTGATTTCAACTATGTAAGAAGAGAAGAAATGGAAGAAATGTCCAGTATGTATAGGCAGCATGTAGTGTCAGATATGTCTGGCTTATATCATAATCTGAAGACAGACATAGTTGATGAATCAAGAAGACAGGAAGCAGAAACTCTTCAAAACCAGAGACAAATGTTTGAACAACATCAAAAATGGTATGAAGATCAACACGAGGGTTTGGGCTTCCAATCTGGCATGCATTCCCATCATACTACTCAAGAAACAAAAGAAGAAGATGCTCATTATCAAGCATTTCTTGATCAACAAAAAGAAATGTTTCAACAACAACAGAAATGGCACGAAGAGTAGTATCAAGGAATGCTTCAACAACAACAAAAATGACATGAAGATTAGTATCTGGGAACGCAGTCTTATATAAACAACAATTTTGCTTCCATGCAATCTTATATGAACAGCAATTTTACTTCAATGACCACTTACATTGACGACAAAAACGAAAATGTGATGAATCAATTAGATGATTTGGAATCAAAACTGGAAACTATTGCTTGTTCACAACTGCAGGATGTTCCTAGTTCTAGTAGTGGCCAGAAAGCACCAGTTCAACAAATTCCATCGGTGGGAATATCCAGAAAAAAAAAAGAAAAATAAGAAAATAAAGTATTCAGATTATCCGTTAGAAGATTATCTCGTGGAAAGATATACAACAATAAGAGATTAGGTGCTGCGCAATCCATCTAGGTAAGAAATTTGATTGTATTTTATGAATTGTATTACATTGATTTAGTATTAATTTAAACTACAATATATACATATAGTGCATACTAGAAGATTGTAGGAAATGACAACTTATATGGAAGAGATACACTAAAAACAATAATGGATGCAACCAAAGATATCAATATTGCAGTTAGTGAAGTCTCTGGCTGAATTAATTTTATTATGCTTAGCATATCTAATTTATTTCTATTTATTGTATTAGCATATAGAAGTGGAATTAAAGCTATTGAGAAAGTTGATCAATGAAGGTTGCAGCCCTGTTTCCAAAGAATATGCAATTCTGGACTTCAAATTTGAACATGAATGTGCTGCCCAATTGATGTGGCAACATAATGTGATGGCAGAATGTTTTAGCCATTCTCAAAAGGATTTATTAACTGCGAATTTACAGCAATACATGAATAGTGATTTGCCGGTGGGCGGGCGTTCATGGATAGCTTGCAACTATTTATTAATTCCATGTTTATATACGGCAGAAAATTGGAATCTCTGTCTTGTTAATTTTCTGGAATGGAAAGTTCAAATATACAATTGTAGTGAGGAGTCTCATACACAGAAGAAATCAGGGAACAAATAAAGTCATTAGTTGAAATAGTCTAAATTTCATTGAATTTCAGCAATTTTTCTTCTAGGAGACCGGATTTAAGGAAGCATAGAAACAAAAGGCTCAATTTGAAAATTATACCTTGCCTACCTTGCGCAAATAACAGGTATGTATTCGATGCATTTAAATTGACAACATTTATTCTTTCTTGATTTATAATTTTACCTCCTACTATTTATTTTGTCTAACAGAAAACAATTCTTTCGTACAGGGCAAATTCTCCAGTATTTTTACTCAAATACATAGAATACTTTGTTTTAAACTATCCATTAGAAACAGTTCAAGCAGACAAGATGAGTATATATAGAAGAAAGATTGTAGTAGACGTTTGTTATAATGAATATTTTCTACATCCCCGTAGTTCCTGATTAGTTTTTTATTATAAATGTGAAGAATTTGTAATATGTAAACAAATTGAAATTAGCTTAAAGTTATTTTTGGTGCAACTACATAAATTCAAAATTTAAAAGTGAAAAATTGTGCATAGATATTTTAGCTGTTTATTTGCTTTGAATAAAGTAAATGAAAGACAATATTTCAGTTGTTTACTGTAAATGTGAAGAATTTGTAATATATAAACAATTTGAAATTACCTTAAGGTTATTTTCGGTGTAATATGTAAATTCAAAATTTAAAGTGAAAAATTGTGCATGGATATTCAAAATTTGTCTAGACGCTTTTTTCAACATTTTGTTGCTTTTTTTTCACTTGGGGTGTTTCTATGGTCTAAATCTGTCAAATCTGTCATGAAGATAATGTCAAATCTATAATTTGACGAATTAAGCTCAGTTTCGAATGCTCTTAAGTAGAATGCTCGTGGAGTATCCCTCATTTTTTGAAAAATAACTTCAAAATTTGTCTATGAATCCTTTATGTCAATGATGTGTACACTATTAATATTATGATGTAAAAAAAGAAGGAATAAATGTAGTCTATGAAACTGTCGATGAGATAATTAACTACTTGATAAACATAAAAATTAAACATTATTGGCTAGGAATATCAGTAGTAAAAAAATGTTTCATAGACGTATTAAAGTCCTATTGTTATGGTTTTTTTTATAAACCATAAATATTGGATATTCCCTATTTAATAGGTCAAATACACATGTATCGCCAATTTGTAGCTGCTTGTTTGCCAGAAAATCTGTCCAACCTACACTAAGTCGGCGCATTACACCATTTTCTCTTGAATTTGCGGTGATATCCCAGTAGTGAAGTAAAGAGTCGAGTATTCGAACATTTTGCACATGTCTTGGCAAATCGTGTTTTGCAAACCTTCCTGGTATAAATTGGAAAACACAGATTAATGATTTACTAATATTAAGAATGATGTGGAATAGGTAAATAAAGAATGACGTATTAAAAATAACACCTACAATTTCTCAAAGGTTATTATGATCTAGCGTAAGTTTTAATTCAAATGCAGGATTATCCATATTTAAATCGTCGTCATCTACTTCATAATTTGAGTCATATGTAATCTCTGCTCTAGAATGATCAAATATCCTCATATTCAACATTGAATTTCCATTAGATTCAAATACTACAACATAACCATCCTGTAAGTTATGATGATCGAAAAACTCTTCCCATCCATTAGCCAAATATATTTCTCCTTCAATTCTTTCTAACTGTACTGTGACGATTATACCATCATATGCAGTTAATCATAGTGTGTTACTTATTTCTGGTTCCCAGTAATTGATAAAAGATGTAGGTAGCATCTATAGATACGAAAAAAAATGTAAGTTGTACATTAATATTAATAAAAGAGTATAAAAAATCTGGAAATAGAAATTATTATATAACTTACAAAACGAATGTTATGATTTAGTGAAACATCAATGATTTTAGAGAAGCTATTTGGCACATCCATTTTTGTGTCTACTAAATTTAGAAAGAATTACATACATCATATGATTTAAAACACAATTAAATATTGAAAATTAGATATTATGTAAAACTAAAAATATATGTAAAAAGTAAGAAAAAATAATAGACAACACCTGAATTTTTTTAGCAAAGTTGGGCTGGTGTAACTTGCAAGTAAAAATATTTAAATTTTTTTGGTGAAAACAAATGGTATGTGAAGGTATTTAAGCGAAAGAAATGTACGTTGCTTTTTTCAATGATTTGACGAGAGGTTCACATGTACAATAAACAAAGTATTCTCACAGTTGTAAAAATAGACATAATATGTGCAGTGGTTTTGGCACCTGTTATAGAATTCTCGTGACTCTGCAAGATTTGTAATGTTTTGCAAGATTTTGTGGGAGCAAAAAATAAAAGAAAGAGATAATACTTTTTTGTTTCTTGTATTAATCTTTAACAAAAATATGATATATTTTATTTTAGATTTCATTTTAGTGAGGGTGTGCTGACCACCCCACACAATTATGTGAGGTTGCACAGACACAGTTTGTATGGGGCTACCCGCACAAATGGTGCGGGCTACCATTTGTACGGGGTAGCCCCGCACGAAATGTTGTGCGGGGTAGCCTGCACAGACAGTGTGTGCAGGGTAGCCCTCACAAATGTGCGAGTTTATCCGCACAAAATTGTGTGGGGTAGCACAATTATGTGCATTTTTTGGCGGCTATCCCCGCAAAAAAATTGCGGCGGTGTGCGGTGTAGCCCCGCACATTGTCCGTGTGCAAACGAAAAAATAGATATCTTCGCACAACAAGTCAGCACCAGATTCTTGTGAAATTTGAAAATTGGAGTTTCTTACATTTTGTTAATACTCAAGTGTGGAAGAAAAAAAAATTTTGCTTATAATTGTGCGGGTGCGACACACCACACATTTTCTGCGGTCTCACCCGGTACATTTGTATGTGTGTGTGTATATATATATATATATATTTCTTTTGTTGTTAATGATATAGTTTAATAATAGTTTCATATCTATACTAATTTTCAATTTTATGATTAGTTTTCATTAAACACTATTGTTTTGCTAGTTGTTTATCAACGTGAATTTCAACTTACCATCTTAAAAAGTTTTAATTTTGACAACTAAATATAAGAAATCATGTCACTTACAACATAAGTTTCTGTAGGTATAGATTACTTGGATGAAAATAGATCTAAATAGAAGACAAAAATAAATACAAGATTTATCAACAAAGCTTGCAACAATAATTGATGTTATCTAGCACCCATAAAAAAAACCAAACACCCTGATTTATATATCATTTCTAATCTAGACAGTTTAAACACTATATGATTTAAAAGAAGAGAATAGTTGTTGCCAAAAATTTCTAAAATATCTCAATCATCATCCACTCATTTTTTTTTTCTTTTGGTGCAGAAGAACTTGTGTTATTTATGTCTCCATCACAAGTTATCTTTAAATCTGAAAACTTGAAAGCTTGGTTTACCTCGGGTAACCAATTTTTGAAAAGAGTGTGCTCCAATAATTTTCCTATGCACCAAGATTTCATTGACTTTCTTCACATAAATTTGAATGTCCATATGCTGCATAAATTAAATTGATTTAAATACTTTGAAAAAAAATGTTTTGAAGTCGAATGTCATTTATATTTTGAATAACAACTTCAAAATGCTAATCAGTTAGAATTCTTACAAATATGATCCACTCTATTCCATTCATCAACTTCTAGAATAATCTAACATCTGTATTGTAGTTGGAAAAAAAAAGCATTTCATTTAGCATAGTCAACAAAGAAATCACGGACAAAAAAAGAAATTCCAATAAATCGAACATATTTGTATGAATGTATGAACGAAAGAACCTTCTTGTACACAACATTTTTAGTACATGAGTTGTGCGTATGATTTTCATTGGACGGTTTGAGTAGAACTTTAATAGATCTGCTTTTTTTTGCTCTTGACAATGCAACATATAATTGACCATGGCAGAAAACTGGTTCTGGTAGGTACAAACCCACAAAATCAAGTGTCTGACCCTGTGCTTTATTTATTGTCATTGCAAATCATGGTCTAATTGGGAATTGAGTCCTTTTAAATGGAATCGTAGTTCGATCAATTTTAAGAGGTATGAAAGGGATCCTAGGTAAGAAAACTTGTTTTCCACGATATTCACCAGTTGTGATTTCAGCAAGAATGACATTTCTCTCAAATTTTCGACAGGTAAGGCGTGTTCCATTGCATAACCCCTCGAAAGGATTGATATTTCGTAATAACATTACAGGACAATTCATCTTTAGTTTGAACTCATGAGGTGGAATACCATTAGGTATCAAAGTATTCAAAAAGTCTTCATGTAGGCTTTGTTCTAATTTCTCAATTGCTTCATCAAAACTATAGTACGTGAAACTTTGACCAGGAATTTGTTCAAGCAAAAGTCCATTAATGTAGTCAACGCATTCATTTGTAGGCGTAAGAATAACACGATTGACCATCGTATATAAATGATCGGCATATGTGTCTATATTGGGAAACACACATTGTATCAATTTTTTTAAAGACATAATTTCATCTTCGAATGGCAGAACTATACTATTTGGTAGCTTAATACAGTTGCAAGTATGTTCTTCTTCTATTCCACCTCCAATTCGAAGTAAGTATTCACAAAAAATGGGATCAGACTTCGTTCTCATATTTTCAACCAGTGCTAAATGTACAAAAGACGACCACAAATACGAGTAAATCATGCTAGCCTTTATTATGTCTTCTTTGTTTCCCTTAGGTACGACTGGTAGAATTTGTCTAAAATCTTCTCCTAAAACTACTACTTTTTCACCAAAAGGCAATTTACAATCAGTAATATCTCTAAGCATTTTATCTACAGATTCTTCAGCACAACGATTTACCATAGGTGCCTCATCCCAAATTATTAGCCTACACATTTTCAATAAAGTTCCTAATGCCGATTGCTTGCTAATAGAGCAGTTGATTTCACCTACCTTTTCTAGAGAGATTTTAAATCTTGAATGAGCAGTTCGACCTCCAGGCAATAAAGATGTAGCCACTCCAGACGATGCAGTTGCTAAAGCTATGAAATGACGACATCTGACATCAGCCAAGAGTGCTCTATATAAAAAAGTTTTTCTTGTCCCACCCGGACCGTTGATAAAAAAAATTCCACTTGATTCATCTTGTACTTTTTCCATAATTGTATTATATGCAAATTGTTGTTCTTTATTTAACGTTGCTACACAACTAAAGTTTCTTTCAATATCCAATTCGTTGTTTCCTCTGCAACCATTCTCATCAATCTTTCATCATCGTCTATATTTACGTTAAATGGCACAATTCCATAATCGTTTATATTTTTACCAAGTGATTCTAAAATAGAACTTATATCCTCTAAAGCTCGTACTTCGACAACTTCAACGGGCATATTTTCATTTACATAATCATCTGTCATATAAGGCTTAAATTTATCCTATAGTAATTTAGGATTATTTGGATTGCACATTGTAAGAAGCATAGCAAAAAGACGTCTTAAAGAATGAGGCATTTCGTAAATAATAGTTTCAGATAAACATTCTTCACAACGAGTATCTCCATTTAATAAACCATAAAGAAGCGCAGCTTTACGAAATGTACCAACATTTACCCCATTGAAAGTCATTAAATCATCAAACGATGTTGGACCTCTAGTATGATTAAGAAGAAGACGAAGAAAATACCGTTCTCCTTCAGATTGATTTACCGAGACAATTCATCCCACAACAATTTGCTTCTTTCTAGATGTCCATGTTTTGCTAGATGCATTCCAAACAAAATGCATTGGGAAATTTCGATACAAAAGCATTCGAGCAAATTCATTTATTTTATTTACTCGAAAAAACTCAATTAACATAGTTTTCTCGTATTTTCATTCTCAATAATAGAAGATAAATTGTCTGTATCTTTGTAAGTTACACATTGATGATCTTCGATATGAAGTTGTAAAGCACAAATAGCTGGATATATTTTCGATAAATTGAAAGCAAAAATCCTCCACATAGCTTCAGGTGGAGATATCCATCTAACAGATTGGTAAGTAGAAATTTCATCAATGTCTTTTTCTATGTCATTTTTGCTGACCAAAAAATTAATACGATCATGTCCTTTGTATATATATTTGTATAAATATTTAACAGCTTTAATAGAAGAACATACTTCAACATTGATATGACAGTGAAATTTTGCACTTAAATAAGGATTATATGGTACAACCCATTGATTGTCTAACATTTTACCTCTCACTTTAACATAGATACCATTATTATGCCGCCTATACAGTGGATACGAATTATCTCCAAACATAGTACTATTATAATAATTCTTTGGATATTTATTTTTACAACTATTTTTCTCCATGCATATATTTTTAGGATTTAGGTTTTCACAAGGACCATGCATACTGTGTTTTACATTAACTAAATGAAGATAAGGATGTATATTTTTATTAGGAATTTCACAAGATATTATTTTATCAACTTGTTCAGTAGAAGAAATTTTATGACCATTGTTAAAAATTAACAACAGATGTGTATGAGGGAGACCTCTTTTTTGAAATTCAATCACGTATATATGAGCTATAATAGGACCAAAAATATCTCTCTTGTATAAATCATTTTAAGTTCTTCTAATTTTGCTTTAAATACACGTACAATAAGATCCAGTCGATTTTGAATCTCATCATTATGATTTAATTCTTGCTTAATTTCTGGCCAATTTGGATTACATGTTATAGTTATAAATAAATCTGGTTTTCCATAACGTTGGACAAGAGCTATAGCATCTAAGTACCTCCTTAACATATCTCTAGGTCCACATGTAAAGGATTGTGGTAAAACAAATTTCTTTCCTATTTTGTACCCTCTTGTTTCTCCATTATGTATACTGTCTACGATACCTTGATAAAGTTCAACACGAATTTGTTTCTAATTACTACGAAAATAATTTAATCTGGATGTCTCTATTTTAACATACATATCCACAACATATTGTTGAAAAAGTCTACCAGAGTGAAGCAACACAGACTTATCAGAAGGCCTAATTTGTAACTTATACGAATAGTACTCACGATATGATACCTGAGACCGTTTCTTCTTCGTATCCTTCAGCACTACATAAGCGAGATTGAATAAAATTTTATATTTACTTTCAATATCACATTTGTAGAAATATAATAGACACAAGAAAGTATATAAGCAAACCTGTAGCCTCTTTTTCAATAATTTGAGCCGCAAAATTTATTACATTAGGATCAGCAACATTGTCCACAAACTGTGCAATTTGAGAAGATGTTTGTTCGTATCTTAGAATGCCTTCATGCCAACCACATTCACCAAAAGGAAAGAGCAAAGGATATTGTAGAGGATCATAACAACCATAATAATAATGAACCCTATGCGAATCACCAGAATGACCATATATAGTAATATCACGAACGCAAATATTTCCATTTTCATCATCCTCAACCCATATAGCAGCTACTTGAGATGCCGACAGAGTATTAAAGACTCTCTGATCGAGTCCTGCATGGTATCTTATTTGAATTTTATGCTCATGCAAATCATTTATATTGCTTAAAGACCAAAAAAATTTACTATACAAATTTACCTTCAAGATTTCGATTAGAATAAATAAAATAGATTCTACCAAGTGTTCTAAAGTTTTCATACGATTTTCTAGTTCATTAACTGTATCATAAAAATATAATTGCGTATAACAATGCATATTATTCTCCAGCATAAGTTGATTTACATAATGATATACTTGTCCCTGAATTCTAAATGTGTAGATACCTTTGTATGCTTTAAACAGTTTTTTTTATCGTACTTTACACCAAATGAAATGAACGCAAAGTGGTTATTATATGAACGTGCATATTTTTTAAATTCCATAAATACAGGCTCTTTAGACGTAAATAAAGTATACAATTCATCCGGTGAATCGGGCATAAAAAGTTTCACTTTTCCATCAGAACAACAAAAATCTTTAGTCTCTCTATACAATTTGCGTGCACCACAATGCTTACAATAAGCACAAGTTGGTAATACATATGCAGTTGCTGGTACACTTAACAAATTAGAACTTCCATGTAATTCATAATCAAAAATATTTATCATTTCTTCACTCGAAGTAGATGCCTCAGAATGTATTCTATATTCATGCATTGAATCAACTTCAGAAGTATTATTTGTAGATAACATATGATCATTTATTCTTTTATGACGATCAATACTTACAGTTTCATTTCGATATCTCCTATCCGCATGCCTTCGATTTTGTTGTTGTCGAATGAAAGCATTATATGATTGACTTGTGCTTTCGGACAAAGTTTGAAGATCAAAACGACCAGACTCTTCATTCATAGATTTTTAGAAAGAATCCATGAAAACAATGAACTGACCTTCGATTTCAATAATAGAAGAAATTATGAATTTAATTTAAAACCAACCAATAATGATAATATTACATTAAACACAGTATAAACTAAATTGACTGAACTCAAATACATATTAAGAAACATTCCACAAATCAACAATCCTCCTCGAAAATGCACGTAAAAAAAGAACTATAAACTGGATGATAACAATCAAACATTCCTATACCAAACTGTTGTAATCTTCATTAAACATAAACAACTTAAACTTCTCATGTAGATAACGATAAAGAAAGAAAGATGTAGTCAAGTTGTATACGCAGAACAAAAAAAATATGTTACATTAATTAAACCTGAAAAAAATAGTAAGAAATAAATACATATGAAAGAAAAAAAAGAAAAAAATTAAAACCTTCATAGCTATATCCAACAAATAAAGAAAAATTTACTTAGATTTTCATGTATATACACAAAGAATAACATACCTCACATTACGTAGGAAAATATGAACGGAGCTAAATTTTCATCTGTAGACAGAATAAAAAATATATATTAAATAAATAAATAAAAACGTAAAAATAAAAAACACAAACAAAAACTAAAATTTTCAAGGACATACCCAAACACTATCATTACAAATTCCATGATTTTCTTCTCCAAGATCGAGATGACGACTACACAAATTTCTTTCGTACAGAAAAAAAGAAGAATATCGAAAGTTTTAAATATGGAAAATTCTTTCTTTGGAGACAAATCAATCCAATTGAAGGAAGGAAAGAGACTAGATAACTTGAGAAAGTGATAGATAGTACATTACTTTATATATTTTTTATAGCTTCTTTTATTTATAATATTAAATGAAAAAGACAAACCATTTGAACCAAACATTTCAAACCAGTTCAATGTGAAAACGTACGTGACAAAAATATTATTCTGAGTTTTTTTTTCAACAAGAAGCTATATAATTTCCACCAATCCACCGGAAAAGAAGTAAAAAAATATAATAAATACAAATAATTAAAATTGAAATCATTTTAATCGAGCAATTTAGAAAAAAAATGAAAAAATTTATACTCGTAAGTAACTTGGAGCATACTTTGTACTCGTAAATAATTATTTACATTTTACAAATATATTCTTAAAAATCGAAGCTCATATTTTTCACTTATAAATAACTTTTACAATTACATTTTTTTTAAAATCGGAGTTATAATTACAATTTTTTTTAACTCTAATCTGAAATAACTTTTACCAATTTTTTTACCTACTACTATAATAGTAAGTAACTCCTTACATTTTAGATTCTAAATCTCTTATATATAATTGCAACAGCTACTAATATATATATATAAAAAAAATGTTAACTTAAATTTTGTTAAGTATAAATATTTAGATATATTTAGTTTATTAAATTAAATATTAATAAAAAGATTACACTATAAGTAAAAAAATCAGCTAAAGTTATTTAAAATTAATAAAGAATTTGTAACGGTAAATATTATTTATAGGTAAAAAATATAAACATTAACATTTGTAAGTAAATATTTAAATATATTTAATTGTTTAAAATTAAATATATTAATAAAAGAACTTACAAGGAAAAAACAAAGCAAAACACCTGTCAATCCTCCATGCACGGAGGATTACTACATGTTGCTTTTTTTTAATTTTTTTTTTTTAAACTTATGTTTTTGTGTTCATTTTCAGTCTCCTTACGGGATATCAAACGAAGTCGAAATATTACATTCTTAATATTATATTGAAGTACTTGCGACATAGTATTACACG